GCAATACATTCATACTATTCAGGCTGTTCTAACTGCTGGTTCTTTCTCTTGTCCACATATACCATTTCAACTGTAGTTGCACAGCACTTCTGGTAGCAGAATCTTGTAGGGATTCCCAAATTTTGAGTTGCTTTCAAGGAACTTCAAGAAAATAAGAAGGATTAGGAGATACCAAATTCACTAAATTCTTAAGAGAGTGTCACAAATTTTGGGTGCTGTTTTCCCAAGAAAGAGATCAAGGAGGCAGCTCTATTTGTTTCTGTTCTCATCCAGCAATTGTGACTCCGATTTCCAATATAAAGCAGCTGGTGGATCTCTCAGAGTCCAGCTTCACTGTGCTCTGCCATACACTAAACATTGTGATAGTCCTTGTTTTGCTCAATGTATAGTCTTAAGTAGTGCCACATTGAAAAAACCTGAATACCCATTTATTAGATGAGAATTGAGACTCAAAGAAGTTAAGAAACTAAGCCAGTCACGTCGCAGTTTGGTGGCAGACCTCAGGTAATGCCTGTGGATTTCTGGAGACCACTCTAGCCCTCTGTGGGATACTGCCATTCCAGCTTCAGAACAGAAACATAATGTGTTTGAAGGAGACCAAAGTAGAGACTATTAGAGATTAAAAGCAGAGAATAATGGAAGCTCAAGAGAGTCATAATTCCTTCTCCAAAGAAGCTGGTTTTATCCTAGAGGTGAGATCGAGGTTCACCAGATCATACTTTTAAATCCAAGTAGATGCCTCCGACTGATAGAACTTTGTTCTCAAGGAGGGGCTGAGGAGCAGTGGTTGCATTGAGTCACAGGGAAGAAAGTAAGTTTTGTGCAGCTTTTGTGGTAAACGAGATGAGACATCACAGCTGTATTAAAGGACCTGTGAAAAACGTCACAAAGGCTGGCTCATATCCAGCAACCCATCAAGTGGGTGCCATTTCAGCCTGGGGAAGCAACTGTCTGCAGGAGCGGGTACGGGCAAAATCTTGTTATGGGCAAAAGGAAACCCACCCTATGCCTAAAGTCACACATTTATTAGTAGCATAATGGCAACCTTAGCAGTCCAATTAAAGAAATATTACGAGTCCAGGTCTAATTATTGCAGAAAAAGAAAGGAAATAAAAGTAAAGAAATTGTATAGAAAATCTCAATAATAATACTACTACATTTAAAAAGGTTATGCATGCATGTCTGGTACCTACCCCTTCTCCTGATGTCGTGCTTACCCTTGCACCTCCCTGTGGCCTTCATCTGGTGCGGGGAGCACAGTGGATCACCACCATCCAGAGTCCTGTGCCAGCAGGAGTATGGTGGTGGCGTTTACGGTTTCTTCTTTCTCTCCTTTTTCCTCTTTTGGAAATAGCTCTCACCTGGGGCTACTTTTACATGTGTTCTAATAAAGTTTTACACCTTGCTTTTTCTTCACTGGACTGCAGCTATATGTTTTGTGGTTTATTTATCTTAGGTACCTGTTCTTTCTTCTCTTTTTCACCCCTAAGGCTAGTTTTGTCCGTCTCCAGGTCTGCATGTCTTTGATCACTGGCAAGTTGTTTATAGCCTTGGGGTCTCCAGTGCCAGCCCTGTGCCCCTTCTCTTACTGTCCCATGCCTCTACTCCTCTATACTGCAGCTGGTGTCTTCACTTCTCAAGGTTGCTGCTGTTCTAACTGGCCTTCATTTCTCTACACTGTAGCATTATGTTAGAGTCATAAATATATCGTTCTACACAGAATAACTACTTCTTATTAATATCTACATAAAAACTGTGGTTATGCCACATATATGTACGTATGCCACATACAAAGCAAAAGTAAAACAAATTAGCCATAGTCTCCTGTCATTAGAAAAATCGTTCTTACAGCTAAATCAAGTAAAATCAAAGCTCCAAGAATATCAGAGGAAGTTCAGCAAAGCACATGTGCTAATCCTCTGTCCTGAGGTCTTGTAAACTCAGGGCAAATAGCACTAGCAATAGCAACACAGCTGCAGCATTGTTACTAGTGTTACTGGGCTACACGCTGCTTATTCTCTTATAATCTTCTGGATTAATATTTGTATGTTTCATACTGCATGTAGCAGCAGAGGTAAATATTTTCACAAAGGGCATGGGAAGGAAGCAGGAACACTGCTGACTAGAAAACAAGCTATTGCACCTGAGCTCATTAGTTTTATGAGCAGTTCATAGTCCATGCACACTCGGCTCAGACACACTGGGTGTGTACCCTGCAAACAAGGTTGCAAAAACCCGATGTAACAATTACTGTGTGACAGCTGAATTGGAGGCCACACTAGAATAGCATAATGATGACTCCCGATTTTATAGTTTATTTCAAGGAAGTGGGGAATATTAAGAATTTTCCAACAGATATTCTCCAAGTATAGAAGAAGATAATAATTTGAGCTTTTCTAGTCATAGAACAGAAACTATTTAAAGCAGTGTCAGGTCATCTTTTTAAAGCATATATTCATGGCAGAAAGGAATGAGCATTTGGCTTTGAAAAAAACAATTTTAATCAATTTTTTCATCAGTATGGTCCATCATGTTAGTCAGAAATGGCTTCTTTCAGTAAATGGATTGTGAATCAATAGTAGATATAAATAAAGCAGTACAAAGGGCACAGCATTCAACAAGCTGCCAATCGTTGGAACAGAAGATGGCAGAAATCAGTATTCCAAGAGGGATACACAAATAAACCAGACACAGGCAGATAATACACAAAGATGCCACCTTTTCACAGAAACTCCAGAGTTCTGTCTTGTCCCAACAATCACTGAAATATGCGTATGTTTGTATGTGTTTCATATGAGAGATCAGTACAAGACAGAGGTTGGTCTGAAGTCTGTTTTTCACTATACATTTTCAAGCTCGCCCCTCTCAGAACTTTCAGAGTTCTTGAAATACAGAGAATGAATTGCCAGGCTGCCAAAGATCTTTCTGGAGCCAGGAAAAAAAAAAAAATAAAAGCTGCAGACTGTATTATACCTCAAAGGATCAATTCTTGAGATACACCGAATACCCACAACTCCTGTAAGGTCAGTGAAAAGTGGTATTACTCAGCATTTTTTAGGATTTGCCCTCTAACAGAAAGAGGAATAAAAGTGTTTCAGACCATAACGAATTTGTATTAGCTATTCACATCAGGACAATCTTATTTACATGTCACTAGTAAGAACTTAGAACATGACTCATATTGTGTCTATCATAACTGTTAATTATTAATGAATGAATATGTCATTTGGGACCTAGCTAATATTGCCAAGCCATTTGTGTGAACAGTTGTTTTCAACTGTGAGAGTGCCAGTTGCCAGAAATTCAACATCCTTAGGTATTTCATAATTATTAACCATACTTCATGTTAACCTGAAAAATCTCACTACTCTCTTATCAAAACTATGAGCTTCGTATCTGTTAAAAACATGTGATTCTCACGGCATAGTTTCAGCCCACAGATTACACATTCAGTTATATTTTTTAAAAAATAAAGATAAGCACAGAATATTTGTAACTACTGACCTACAATTTAAGACTGCACAAGCTGGCAAGCTCACTAACCATGAGATTTTACATCTTTTCCAGAATAATTTATTATTTAAATGGGAAATCTAGATAATATAACTGAAAACCATATAATTGTCTAATTTCACTTTGAACCCTTCTAGATTACGGACTTCAAAAACATGATGGTGCAGTAAAAGAGATAATTGACTCACAGGATGAATGCACTTGAATCAGTTCTGAATTTGCTACATTTTAATTAGCTGTTCTGTTCTTACTGCCTTATAAGACAGAATTCCCCATTGTATCTTTTTAACACCATCTGTTAATAATGTTTATGACAGTACTTCACAGGCGGTCAGCTGGGAATGGGGCCCCAAATGTGCCAACATTGTATATAAAAGAAACAGAAGCCAGTCTCTGCCTGGCGGATTCAATAGACAAAAAGCTGGAAGGAAGCAATAGGGGCAGAGGGAACAATGAGATGGCAGCATACATCATACCATTTTTATTTTTGTTTTTATTTGCGTATTTCAGTCCTTTTCCTGAGGCTTGGTTATGAAAGAATGGAGTAGACAAGACAACCAAGGTAACAAGGACACAGACCAAGCTATAGCAAGCAGCCTATCGAAACACATCAGAGGAGATTTCGGAGTGCAAACTTCAAAAAAGCAATGCAGTGCTACTGCCTTGACTTCAGTTTCTAGATGCACTTCATTTTTTCTTCCCTGTTGTCCTGGTTTGGGCTAAACCAGAACTAATTCTGGTTTAGTGCTTTAATTTTTCAGTTAAGTGTCTTTTAACTAATGGCACTTTCTGAAACAGCAGCGTGTTTTTCCAGACAGTGACTGCTTCTAGCAGTGATAAGCCCATGTTCAGACCTAGTACTACCTTATGTGTCCTAACCCTACACACTGTGGGGATGGAGTTTCTTATTTATAACCCACTCTCTAAAAGGCTAAAAATCCAATGAATTTGTGTTTTCAATGTATTTGTAAGCTAGAAAGCATTGCTATTTTATGGATAGAAAACAGAAAGACAAAAATTGTCTGACTCGGGAAATCTGGGAACAAATAAGTACATCTACAGCATTCTTTTTTTTAAATCTATAAACTTTGCTTCCTCAAGCGTACTTTACAATAGCTAACACATGTAGTACTTTTGTCATTATTTTGTAGTAAGAAACAAATGCATTACCCCACTTTCGTTAATAAAGCCTTCCAAATTACACATCTTCATTGGATCAATATTAACAACTATTTTGAGCACACTTCAGCTGAATATGGATACAAAACACACATAATCATTATCAAAAAGCAGTCTCAGGTATCCTTCTATTTAATGGGATTGGCAACACCAGTACAGATGAGTGACAGTCTTTCTTACAGTGTTTCTCCCAAACCATTTAAGTATACTAATGCCTAGAAATGACAAAGCAAAACAAAACAAAACCCCAAAAAACCAAACCCCACCAACAGTAGCGAGCCAGTACTGTATCCATCATTTCTTTTTTTTCAAAATTCAATCAGATGAGTGTAAGGTCCATTTGTATCCAGGTTTAACACCTGCCTGTTTCCATATGTGCCGTGCTTCACGAGAACACCTGCTTCCACACATTTGGCATTGGCAGCCAGTTCTTTTTCACACAAAGTCACAAACTGAGAATAAAGTTCCAGCCCTTTTTCTTTTTCAATGTTTGCATGATACTGCATCTTTCTTCCCTTTGGTTTACCACCTAGCGTAGCTTGTGGTATGATTAGCACATCACCTGGTAAATCAAGAATGGAAACGTACTCACCACTTTCATTTTCACTTAATTTGACACTCAACAGCATACTGACTGCAAATAAAAATAAAATAAGAGTTCGTGTAACTAAAGTAAATTAAACAGGACCTAATATAACATCATAAACAAGATTCAACAAATACCGTGATGCGTGACAAACTATTCAAGTAAAAGAAACTGCTTATTAATAAAATGAAACACGGACAGTCAATAAATACCATTAACCAACAAAGATGTCTGAGTATCGTGAAGAATGTGAAGGATATTTATATTAATATAATATGTCTAAAGAGGTTTTTTTTGGGAGGAAGTGGTTGGCTGTCTGAAATCCTAAAGTTTATTCTAGTTTGACACCCGCAAAGGAACCCAGGATCCAATTAGTGACCCTGACTTAATTGCCCGATACTCAAATAGGCAACATTTGCACAACACTACACATTGTAGGAGATGACACCATCTCCAGTGCACTTTGGAGAAGTTTCTGCCCTGACCGTCTTTTCGTTCTGGTTGCAGCAGGACCCAGCACTGATCTGGGCTGAAGCCACAGCTCAGCAGTTTGGTCTCAAGTGGAGTGAGTGCCCTTCAGTGCTTCACTTCGAGACACGCAGGTGCCAGCTTGTCTTTTGAGAGAGGAAATAGGCAGGAAGGTCAGAGATGCAATTTGGCCAATAAGCCAGAATATATAAACGTGCAAATAAAATCAATGCATTTACTAACATTATATTTTCCAGTGTTTCTATAACATTCCCCCCAAACTTCCTCCAACTCTGTAAAAGCTGTTAGGATACTAGTCACGCGTCCAAACCCATAAAAGTTTAATGTTGTTTGAAGCAAAAAGAGCTGAGTTGTGATTCAGGAACCAAAACCACTAATTTAAACAGTTTCAAAATAAATTTTGGAAAAAGTATTCTGTGAGACAGACACTTAAGGAGGATGGTCGTACATGAATCTCCTAATAGGAAACAGAACTTTCTTTTCCTGGCCTGTTTCAGCTGCCACACAGCTGAAAAGGTTGTTATTCTCAAGTAACACTCTCATGAAACTCTCACAAGCACAAAATCAATTTTCCTACCATAGCTTTAAATACACCTGAAGATTTCAACTTCATTTAGCACCACAGAAAGACTGTGCCCTCCAAGACCAAGAGGGAACCCCTCAGGAGCTGCTCTCAGCATTTTCGATAGCACCTGTGCTTGTGCACTGCCAGGACTTTCTGCTGGTCCCAGCAAGTAGCCTGAAATAGACTATTGTTACACGACCTTTTGTGAAATGGCTAATATCTGCCAGGCACAGAAAAGAAAAGGGGCACTTTTTTCTGGAATACATGACATCACGGAATCCCCCAGGTGATCCACTGCTACTGATGGAGGAAAGGAGGGAGAAGAAATGAAAAAAAAATAAAAAAGCAAACAGAAACAAAACAAAAAACCTCAAGCCAAAACAACAGTGGGTGAAGATAAAATCACTACCATTTGACCTTATCCACAGCATCTTCTCTGCTTTGATGTAAATGTTAAAGTGTATGTGGAGAAGAGGGAAAGAACTGCAGATATTGCTGTTATCACTTCTGAACCAGAAAACTGCACTTGAAATGCTAACAGTGTATATAGTATCACCGAAACGAGATGGGAAGGACACTGTTTAGCTGTCCACCCAACTCCCTCTACTGGCTATAATTTTAAATATCCTATATATACAGTGAGATCAGTGTTAAAATATGCCTTAAATCAAGCCATGAATTATTTGAAAACAGTTTCCTCTAAATTCAGTTCTGTCCTGGACTGAACCTGTTGCCTGATACATGTAGTATGTCGAACAGCAGGTGCAGAGCTTTTTCTGTTTGCTAGAATTTTATCATCATGGGAACTGATTTTCTAACAGGTTGATCATGAGCAGACAGTAGAGTGAGAGGTAGGGGCAACTGTCAAAAGAAACAAGGCTGACCAAGCTGCTCTTTCAGCCAGGTGATTGATTTGGAATGATGATATCTGATAGCTTTTTGACTTCTTTTCCAAATGGCTGCTGCCTTCTCTGCCTCTACTGCTTTTCCTCTTTTTCCAATAACACAAGAATTTATAAGGATTATATCATACCAATTTTTGGAACAAGATCTTCATCAGCACCTTTGAAGAAGCATATGTAGATAACAAGCCCTCTCTGGATCTACGAAAGATTACAGAAATCTATGTCAATATTTCTCATTGTTCGCCATGCAGATTTATCATTAACACTGGTATAAAAAAAATTACAAAACTACACAACAAAAAAGCTTCCGAGAGTAGTTTTAGTTATTTAGTATAGCTTCAGACATCAAGTTTACACACCATACTGTGGAAGCTTATGAGATACACACAGATTATCTGCACAATACTTCTACATACAATTAAGCCAATTTATTAGCTCCATGTGAGGATGAATTTCGTTGGGAGGTACAATATACAGTATTAACATAGACAAGGTAACAAGATGAATTAGTGTACTTAAGTCCAGCATAGGAAATAATTTAAGCTTTTTTGCTATCAAACATACAGATAAAATAATTTTCAGTGTGAATTATGAGTTTATTTCTAATTATGAAACATGACAAACATCACTGGATTTGTCAGTGAATTGGATTATATTTTGATGTTAAAAGTAATCTAGCATATGATAATTCTGAAAAAACACAGTCTGTTAATTAAAGATTTCAATATGATGATCAATTTAAATATGATGACCAATAACTATGGTTGTTCAGAATATTATATAGTTGTTCGGAATATTATTTATCAGTTTGGGTGAAATCTTTTTGTTGAAATGGGACCTTTCCTCCGATTTGCACAGAGTAAAGGATATGCTATTTCTTTAGCATCCAGAGAGAATACTTGTAAGAACTATCTATTTGAGGGAAGAATTAGGTCTGTACTGTGGAGGAAGCACAAGGAAATTCTTGTGTAGCTTTTCTGCTCTCTTGGTTAGTTCACAAGGAATGTGTGTTCAACATTAAGACAAAGTGATAGGCTCTTCAGCCAACAGCAATTATGTCTCATGCAGAAGTATACCTGAAGGGTTTAACTTCATCAGGAAAAAAAAAGACATACAATATCCACAGGCATACAGTATCTAAAAAAACCTCCCCACTGCTTTGTCAAGAATAAGTATCTTTATATTTTGTTAGAAGAAAAATCAATGTCGGCTTATGAAATACCACCCAAGAGATGCTAACTAGACTTGGGCAGGAAGGAGACATTAATATCGACGTTATCAAAGCAAAAGGATAAGAAATGTGAATAGCTTCTTTAAAATACCTTTTTTAAATTTTTCCTCTTTTTTTTTTTCCTTTCCCCTTTTCTTTAAAAGAGAAAGGTTTTTCATAAAGAAAGCTATACACACGAGATTTTATCCCTTTGTTACTGCAGAGATTAAACAAAATGCTCAAGGCAATGACTGAGAAGAGCGATGCCTTCTCAACTGTTTTTCTAGTGACTAACTTCTGGAAAAAGAAAATGCTCTTCGTAGCCAAAACATTGCATGCTGAGACCTTTCAAAAGCTTTAAATGGCTCCTTTCAAAACTCATTTTGACCACTGCAGAATATTATACAGGTTCCCAAATGACTGCCATATTTCATAAACCCTGAAAGAAATTTGATGGCCTGAACCTCAAATCACATTTCAAACCATCTGTTTGAATAAGGGAGAGAAATGCAGGCTGCCAAAAGTTAGATATCCTTACATGTTTAGCTAAATATTCGTTCCAGAAACAGACCAGCATCAGGATAATAATAGAGAATAAAAATGCACACATACCCAGTAATAAAAATGTTTGTGATAAAATAGGCCAAACGCATTTACATTGTCCATATCTGACCACTGCATTAGAAACAAGTGACTCTGTGATACAGCACACATCACAGAAAATCATTCTAATCCTGAGACTTGTGACAGCATTTTTTGTACAGTCTCACATATGGAAGTAACAATATTCTGCAGGCAGCTCATTTAAAAAGACAAAAAGGTAAGTAAAGTCACATCTGCAAGTCCTAAGGCCAGACAGCTAAAGATTTAAGTAAAAACATTCATTTCTCCAGCCTCTCTCATGATTTGATGCCTGTTTTTGAATATACATCTAAACACAAGATGAGAGATATCTATTGAGGGAAATTAGAGGGACGACAGGAGGTTAAATGATTTATATTGCATGTTTAGGATCTTCTACAACACTTTTCAATCATGTTATAGTTGAAAACTATTCAACTATTTGCAAGTTGGAACTTATGGTTTCAACTATGACAGAAAACTGCAGTTGAACGCTATTTCAACACATGTGCAACCATATTTCAACCTCTCGTTATGCCTTACTTTTTTGTTCTTTAGTTTTCTTAATTGAATAGAAGATGTAGAATTGAACACCATTTCAAGAGCTAACCTAATAATAATGCACGTCAGTCCTCTGAACTTAACATCAGTGTTTCAGGCATCCCAAGACTTGTGCTTGTTACCAGTGTAAGGAACAGGAATGTGTAAACGTCTTGAACCAAAGCGAAAACCTTGCCACTGCTGAAGGTCCTCTGTAACCCATCAAAGTCTAGTTGACTGCTCTTCAGAGCTATATTTAACGCAGGAAAAATCAAGCAAAATAACACAAGTAAGAAGGTCATAAATTCAACATGCTGATGTGCAAACAAACAGCCATTGCAAGGAACTTGCGTAGTGACAGGCAGATGGTTGGGCAGCAAAACTGTGCTCTACGTGGATTTACTGTTATCAGTAAAACGCCAACATAAGTAAACCAGCAAAGCGAGTTACTTTGCAACACTGGCACTTATTATACAACTGTCCTAAGTAATCATCACACCAGGCAACCTGCACCATGAAGGGCTGAAGGACCCAGCCCCTAAGGCCATAGAGCCAGCCTTAGCAATGCTGCCTCCCAACACTGCTTTTTAGCTCTTTTGCAGGAAAACCAAATAACTTAACTTCTTCCTCACTGTCCTTACTAAACACATTCATCTGAATTTTTCAGGATTTCATTAGCAAAACCCAAATACATTCTGCAAAACGTTATCTCAACTCTACCTTTTTTTTTTTTTTCTTTTCAGGAAAATGTGATTCAACTGATAATGAAAATGGAGACACTTTGTAATCCTTTGGGAGCCAGTTTGTGAAACTAACTTATACAAGTTATTCTTTGACATCTCCATTCCAAGTTCAGATTTGCTACCCTGCGAGAAGATTTCTTCATATTTCTTACATTCAGCTGCAGCAAAGAGAGATTACATCATCTACTACAGGTCACAGAACAAGTCTGTGCCTGGTACTTTGCACCTTTTTTTGCTATCTTAACCAGAAAACAAATCAAGGAAGAGAAGTAAGGGAAAGACCGTTTTCATTGCATAATGTGTAGGCACTTAATACTTTTTAGCTGAATATTAAATTTATGTTTCTTTTCTCCCATAGTTGTGAAATACACCAAATCTCACTTTATTTCTCCCCTGCCTTTAAAAGGAGAATTTAGTTTTTTCCTCCTAAGTATGGATACTTTGCTGTACCCATAAACCTTTTATGGATGCTATCTAACCAACGTTTCCCCATAAACAAGACACGCCATTACCAGTAAGCCTCAGCAGGCCTGAAAAACTCAATCATGAAAACACAATGAAGGCAGTGATTCATGTGTAGGTATAAAGTACACTCCGAACCTTTTTCCAGATAAAGAACATCCACTCTGAAGTTCCTAAAATACCTACAGGGGTGTCTCAAAGCTCAGAAGCTATTCAAAGCCACCTACATAATGTGCCACTTATAGCACACTAGAAATTTCTCAAGGTGAGGACCTACTTTTAAGTTGTTACAGATCATCAGAAACACACTGGTTTATACAAATAATAGTTTATGAGATCTATATTTTTTATTTTTGCACTGACATGCATATATAGGGAGTAAGATTACACTACTAGAATACATCAGCAGCAAAGATTGCTTCCAATGACCTCTAAAGTAGTCATATTAATGAAACTACAAACTTCCCATAGTTATTTGCTGCACAGCGACTAGTTCTCATTAAAATAGATTTATCTTAAAAAGCCCCAGGTAGCCAGGAAAGATTCCCAAGTACCCACGACAAATATGAGTAATGTTCATGTCTGAAAGATACCTGCTGCTGAGACCACCCAAATCTCTTGCAGATTCCTTTAGTGCTGTTACTTTCCCAGTGATTTTGGTTAAGCCATTTAAAACTTCAAATGAGAGATACAAACAACATAACCTCCTTCTAATACAGTTAGTCATGATATCTCTAAACCATAACATATGCCTCTTTTCAGATAGTTTAAAAGACAGCCAGCAAAATGACATTTCTGCTTTTATTTACTATATCTACAATTACTTCCGAGATTAGTAAACCAGAAATAGGGTATTTCCCCTACAGTTAATTTATGCTGTGCTGAGCAACTTTCACTATAACTAACCTTACACTGAGAGGCTAATAATGCAATACCTACAGATGCACTTCAGCCAAACAGTATCTGTGAGATGACACGTATTTCCTCTGAGTAAAACATTCTGGTTTCCCAGATCATGCTGTCAGAAAGTAGGTCTTACAGATCCACCTGCCTCTTCTGAACAAGGAAAGAAATGTTTTAAGAACAATCTGAAAGTCAAACAGTGGAAACAGCTAGGGACAGACTTCTTTTTTTTAAAAAATCCCTCTCTTCATATTTGTTGAATGAACTCATAAGCCCTCTAAACACGCTAGAATTCTTACTTTTAAAGTTACGCAAGTGACTATATTTAGCCCCTTCCATTGTAGTAGTCTTTAAGAAGGACAAAAGGCAAAACCAAAAAACCCAAGGGCTAAATAGTTGACACCTGCATAGATGAGTTACTCTAGTGTAGGTAACCTGTAAACAGTGACAACTACAGGAGGACAGTGCATCCCAAGGGCAGCCTTCATGCTTCAGTAATTAACCCTGCACAGCACTCAGCCCAGAGTCTGCAGACCTACCTACCTCTCCTGACAGAAGACTATGGGAGAAATAGAGGGAAATTACAATGTTTCCCTCAGGCTGTGTGGTGGTCTACATCCTAAATTTCATTTTTGGTTAGTGGTCTGGGAAAAAAAAAAAAAAACACCAAAACAAACAGACCTGCCATAGTCCCATTGCTCTACCTGGCCTTTCTGCTC